ATGGAAAGCGTGACGTTCCCACTCCAAAGATCGATGGACGTCCTGGGGTCTCAGGGCTGTTTGTCTTGTGGAAGGTTTCTTGTGGATTGGCTTCCACTGTGTTAAAAATACGCGTCGACTGTAGCTGGCAGCGCACCCGGCTCATCCCTGCTGCCTGGCCTTGACGGCCCAAGGCCCCTCCTCGGCCTCACCCATCACCGCCCCGCAGGGACCCACTCCGCCTCTCGGCGCTCGCCTTCTTTGATCGCATCTCAGCAGGCGGCGGGGCTTCCCAGAAGCCCCTCGCGCCCTCCGAGGAAAGACCGTCTGAGGCCCTCGGGGAGGGCTCAGAGGAGACCTCTCACGCGTGCGCGGGGGATTCCGCGAAGCCCTGCCGCCCTCTGAGTCGGCCCGCCCTCCCTCCTCTTCTGCCTCCTCCTCCTCCTCCTTCCTCCTCCTACCCCTCCTCTTCTTCCTCCTCCTCCTCCTCCTCCTCTTCGTCCTCCTCCTCGTCCTCTTCCTTTTCTTCCCCCGCCCCTCCTCCCCCCGCTGCTTTCCTGCGCCTCTCTCTCTCTCTCTCTTTCTCTTCTCCTCTCCTCCCTCCCCTCCTCCTTCTGCTCCCCCTCTTCCAGCAGGCCAAGCACGAGTGCGTCTGGGCGCAGCTGTTGTCGGCGCCCGAGCCGGGGCCGCGCCAGGGGAGTGAGGGAGTTTGAACGGAGGCGAAAATGAAGGAGGAGGGAGAACCCAGGACCAGGATTTTACGATCCAGGATTTTACGATCCAGGGAGGAGGAGGATGATGATGAGGAGGAGGAGGAGAAGGAGGAGCAGGACGAGGAGGACGAGGAGGAGGAGGAGAGCGGGGGGAGGAGGAGGAGGAGGGAGAGAAGGAGGAGGAGGAGGAGGAGGAGGGGGAGGAGAGGAGGAGGAGGAGGAGGAGGAGGAGGAGGAGGAGGAGGAGGTAGGAGGAGGAAGGGGAGGAGGAAGGAGGAGGAAGAGGAGGAGGAGGAGGAGGAGGAGAGGAGGAGGAGGAGGAGGGGGAGAAGGAGGAGGAGGAGGAGGAGGGGGAGGAGGAGGAGGAGGAGGAGGAGGAGGAGGAGGAGGAGGAGGAGGGGAGGAGGAGGGGAGAGGAGGAGGAGGAGAGGAGGAGGAGGAGGAGGATGAGGAGGAGGAGGAGGAGGAGGAGGAGGAGGAGGAGGAGGAGGAGGAGGGAGGAGGAGGAGGAGGAGGAGGAGGAGGGGGAGGAGGGAGGAGGACCGAGGGAGGAGGAGGAGGAGGAGGGAGGAGGAGGAGGAGGAGAGGAGGAGGAGGAGGAGGCGGAGGCGGAGGAGGAAGAAGAAGGTGGAGGAGGATCAGTTAGAGGAGGAGAAGCAGGAGGAGGAGGAGGAGGAGGAGAAGGAGGGAGAGGAGGAGGAGGAGGAGGAGAGCAGGAGGAGGAGGAGGAGGGGGGAGGAGGAGGAATACCCGTAACAATAATGCATAGACGACTCATAGGAGCACTAACGATATTACTATGACTAAGAGTAGTAATTCTATGGCTGTTACCATTCGTATATCTACTACTGGCACTACTGAGAAGACCGTCCTACTGTAACTCATGACAGTATCGTAATATACGTGATGCTGATGGCGATGCTGTTGCTGCTGATGCTGCTGATGATGATGCTGACAATGTTGTTGACGATGATGATGGCGATGCTGATGCTGTTGATGATGATGGTGCTGCTGCTGATGATGATGTGTATGCTGACAATGATGATGATGCTGCGGGTGCTGATGATGCTGTTGCTGCTGATGATGATGGTGCTACTGCTACTACTACTATGACGGCTACTACTACTACTACTACCACTACTACTACTACTACTACTACTACTGCTACTGCTACTGCTGCTGCTACTACTACTACTACTCCTACTACTAATGCTAACACTACAAACGGCAAGGCTAACGCCACTGCGAATAACAACAGTACTAGCCTCATAGTGGTGATACCAATACTAGTAGCAGTCCTAGTAGTGGTCGTAGTAGTAGTAACAGCAGCAGCGGCAGTAGTAATAGTAGTAGTAGTAGTAGTCGTCGTCGTAGTAGTAGCAGTAGCAGTAGCAGTAGCAGTAGTAGTAATAGTAGTAGTAGTAGTAGTAGTAGTAGTAGTAGTAGTAGTAGTAGTAGTAGTAGTAGTAGTAGTAGTAGTAGTAGTAGTAGTAGTCGTAGTAGTAGTAGTAGTAGTAGTAGTAGTAGTAGTAGTAGTAGTAGTAGTAGTAGTAGTAGTAGTAGTAGTAGTAGTAGTAGTAGTAGTAGTAGTAGTAGTAGTAGTAGTAGTAGTAGTAGTAGTAGTAGTAGTAGTAGTAGTAGCAGCCGTAGAAGTAGGAGTAGTAGTAGTCGTAGTAGCAGTAGTGGTAGTAGTAGTAGTAGTAGTGGTAG